TTGAGATGGCACCAGCATGGTTGGCTTTGGTTATCTTGCAATATTTGTGGTCCATGCCATCCTGGGTTAATAAGTAACTGTTATAAAGGTCATTGGGAAAACCACCATAGAGGCTGGAGCAGGGGAAATATAACCAGAAGAGGTACAGCTGGATACATAAACTGGTGCTGCGTATGCAGTGGTACCAACTGCCCAGTGAAGAAGAGTTAGCCACGAGATTTAGTAGATTATCCTCTATACCTTCTTAAAATAGGAGTAGAGTTGTTACCTTAGTTCTGGTATTAATCTTTCTTTGTCTGGAGGTTTTGGTTCCAGAGGAGAGCCATGAAGATGATAAGAGGGCTGGAGCACCTCCCTTATGAAGACAGGCTGAGAAAATTGGGACTGTTCAGCCTGGAGAAGAGAAGACTGCGTGGAGACCTCATAGCAGCCTTCCAGCATCTGACGGGGGTCTATAAGGATGCTGGGGAGGGACTCTTCCTCAGGGACTCTAGTGGTAGGACAAGGGGTAATGGCTTCAGACTTAAACAGGGGAAGTTTAGATTAGCTATAAGGAAGAAGTTCTTCACAGTGAGGATGATGAGGCACTGGAATGAGTTGCCCAAGGAAGTTGTGAATGCTCCACCCCTGGCAGTGTTCAAGGCCAGGTTGGACAGAGCCTTGGATGACATGGTGCAGTGTGTGGTGTCCCTGCTCATGGCAGGGGGGTTGGAACTAGATGATCTTAAAGGCCTTTCCAATCCAAACCATTCTATGATTCTTATCTAGAAACCGAGAGAATGAGTTAACTTCACAAGATCAGCCCAGCAACAGTGACGATGAGTAAGAAATCAAAAGACCATTGACCAGAATTAAGTGATTGGACTTTGGAGATCAAGTGATGGGTGGTACAGGTATAATTGAAGGGTGTGATCTGGGGTATGGGTCCCATATATATAGATATATACATATATATGGGTGTAGATACATATATACTAGTGTAGGTATTCCCATGAGGGAAGGAAAATAAACTCTACTCCTAGAGAAGCACCCACAGTACTTGTTAGACTGATATAATTACATCAATAACAAAAGCACACCAGACTTCTTATGAGCCCAGTGGTACCAAAGCCCATGCATACTTGCAGTGCCCTTTCTCCTTTTCCAACCCAGGATTTGGTTCTGCATTCTGTAACTGCAGCCCTCACCTACAGAAATTTGGCAATTAGTACCATCTAAAGTTGGTTGCTCTGGAAACAGGATACAATTTCTTCCAGCTTCACAGCAAGAGTTGTTGAACTCCAAGACAAACAAGTGTAGCAGCTCTGTTCACTTGCTTCCCCAGGCCAATGAACTTGCCTCGGGAGTCGCAGATTATTTTCCTCTTTCTTATTATGCACTCTGTGAGACCAGCCCCAGGAGAAGCTTTTGACTGACTTGAGAAAACGCTGAAGCCTTGAAGTACTTTTCACAAATGGAAGCGGGAATAGGAAATCTCACACTGGCCAGAAAAATATCAGACGTCTGCCCGAGTATCAGAAGGGAGCATGGAAAGGGTCTGTGGATGGTTACAGAATCAGGACCATTTTCTGAAAGAAAGCCTTTCTGTCTGGTGCCTTTCTTCTTCTCCCAGGTCCTATGACCTCTGACATCCTACTTTTCTGCAAGGACTACTGGTTATTACTTACTGTTTGCTACATTATCAGTCTGTTACTAGTCACTCAAACTCATGGTCTTCTGAGCACCTTCATTAACCAAACAGTCTGGAATCACTCAGGCATCAAAACCACACCCTGCTAGCACGGACAAAGTGGTGGGTGTTTTAGCACCCAAGAAAGTAGAGTTTTTTACCAGATTTTCCTCCTGGTGTCAGGCAGTATGAAGTGAGATAGTCACCAACTGTCCTTTCCTTTCTTCTCTCCCCCTTAGGGACCTTGATACACAAGTGACTGTGGGAAGTGTGCCATACATGGCCCTTTCCAGTAAGGTGCAAATTACCTCCCCTATGCCACATGGCCAGCCGTGTGCCTGGGCTGCTGGCATATGGTGAGGCAGCACTCCAGATCCTGCTTTGCTAACTTGCTGGATTATTAACATACAGGGAAGGAGAGAAAGAAAAGGCATGGGGAAATTCGGGAAACTTTGCTTCTAATGTGTGAGATCCCGTCCAAACTATCTCCTCAGCAGATGTCTTACACTACAGGGACTCTTCCTTCTCTTCACAGGAGTATGACAGACCAGGAACTCTGCAGCAAGGATGATGTCAACTGACCACTCCTATTCAAAAAATGAAAAACGAAGGCTCAGAAGCTGTTAGGATTTCAGTTTTCTGTTACATAGTACTGGTTGCATAGTACAGAAGTTGCTGTGACAACTACCAAATAGCCTAAATAGACTTAATTAGTCCTTTAATTAATGGGTATTTTAGCAGACATAAGCTGCCACAAAACACAAGATGACTTGTTTGAGGCCTTAGCGTAACTGCTGTGCCAGCAGAACATAACAGAAACCATTATACAAAGTATTCCATTAAACACTAAAATTAAACTGCCCGAACGTATTTGATATAAAACTCTTCATGTCTAATTTGCACCAGTGATGCACATGCAAACGATAAGAGCTGGAGAAAACATTCTCCTTGGCCTTCCTCTCTTCCAGCAGTAACCTAGTTCCCATTGGAGGAGGGCAGCTAAGTGGTAGTATTTTCCAGTTATTGTTTAGTAACTTGTTTAAATTAGGTAAAGCAAGTATAAGGTTTTTCTTTAAGTAGAGGACTCAAGGTATGCTGTTAAGGACAAGGCAAAGCAGGAGGCCTCAAGAGAGCTTTCACAGCACTAGACAAGTGTTCTTTCTAAGACACTGAGATATTTATAGGGTCCAAACCCTGCTTCAGCTCCTGTGGGGGTGCAGCAACAGTAGATCAAGCATTGAGAACTCATGCTGAGTACATCAGAGGCTGTGGGAGAAAACCAGCAGCAGAGCATGCACCACAGGCAAGCATGAAGGTGGTGAGGAGAGCAGAAGTGTTGTGCTCCATCTTGGGGAGACTTAGCAAGACAGTGGGCTGGGAGTGTGAGAACTAGGTTGGTAAACACAGGGAAACAGAAACAGCTGAAAAACTTGACAGCAATGATGGAGAGGAAATAATAATCCTCTCACTGTCACCCAATTCAGTACTCATAATTACATGGAATTATAAATTGCCATAAATGTCCTGCCTTATGCAAATTTCAAACAAGGGAGGAGATGCAGAACTCTAGTGTCAGGATCCAGCCTTGATTTTGCTGATGAATTGTAAGCAGTAATATACCACAAGATGCAGAAAAGGCCCACCTGGTCTTCAATCCCTTCAGGGATGCAAACCCAATGCAAGTTTCCATAATGTAAGAATGTGATTAAAAAGGCAGAGAAAAGGAATGAAGGCATGCTTGCTTTTGCTCAGCTGGTTTTTTTTTCAGCTTTCCTTACAGGAACTGCCTTTAAATTCCTTTTTTTTCAGATATCACATTAACTTCAAAGATGTGTCATCTTCTCACATGGATGAGGAAGCAGAACCCTACCATCTCTTCCCCCACAAAACTTCCCCCTTTACTCTGAAGGCCATGAGACACAGCAATGCAAGGAAAGCTTCATACATAATTGATAAGCTCTCTATGCTTGTGTCACTGCTCTTCAGTAAGGCAAGGAAGCAAAAGAAAAGCCCTGCAGAGATGGGAGGTTGGAGGGGGCTCAATTACTTACACTGATGAAAGAGTAAAGGCTTTACCATTCTCACATAACCAGCAAGTGGTTGGAGGGGGCACTCAACTCCACAGACAGGTTGTTCTTTCACTAGCTGAGTAAATTGGTGCCTCCTATCCTGGCAGCAACACTGGTTCTGTACTGTGTGACGTGCAAGATCTCAGCCCAATCTAGAGCTGACAGCTGAAGGTTCCCTTTGCTCCCATCAGCACAGATCCCACTGCTATTTCTTGCCTTTTTGGTGTCTTTCCCCTCCCCTTGCCTGCTAAGTGCAAACAGCATCTGCTACGAGGAATTTAGAAATCTCAAGTGACTGAAAACAGACACAGGCTTTGGGTTTGATAGCAGATACATTTTAACAAAAATTAAAAATATATTTTTCTGACATTTTTAAAAATAGTTTTAGAAATTATTTGCTCAGGTCAGGTAAAATGACTTACAAGCATAATTCTTCGGAAGCATTCTTCAGAAGTGACATTTCACAACATCTGCTCTACTCAAGCAAAGGTTCTAAAGTGTTTTCAAATACAGACTTAACTCCAAATATTAATTAATAAAACAGAGTAACAACACTTCTTCCTCAAAAATCTACACATCTTCCAACGTCAGTCCTGGCCCATTGTCACTTTGACTTTTTTTGCGCATTCTAAAACATATTAACACTGGACTAATGGAATTTGATCCAGTGGAGAACAGAACAGAGAAATATTATCAGAGGAAAAAGAAAACTGGGAGAGATTTCCATAACCACAATTATAGACTTGCTGGTAACAGTACCTATACTTGTTGTCTTTCTCTTACTGAACTGGCTGCAGTTAAAAGCCAAACCTCTCACTAGTAACAGCCCAGATTGTACTTGGACTGTATACAGCCTATCTACCCCTGTACTTTAAGGACATTGAAATTCAAATCAAGTTCAGTTTAAATCAAGTTTAAAATTCAAATCAAGTATGCCTACAGTGAATTTTACCCAGTAGCTTTTACCCATCTCACAAAAGGGTGTAATAAACAGAGCAACTTCAAAACAAATTAACTCTGCTAATAGAGAAAGCAAGGAAAAAAAAAAATCAGTAAAAAAATAAGAAAACAAGATCCAAGACAAGATTCAACTGTAATTTACTGCATACTAACAGAGCCCTTTAAATCAACATTTTACTTTGTGCCTGCAGAACCAAGACTCTGACACTACGTGTCTTTTAGCTGAGTTCCTCAATAAGCACTGACAGCCTTGATAAGGATTGTCCTTGCTTCCATCGCACTAAGCGATCTCACTCAGTTACCTAATTTAATTTTATTGATTTCTTCTTCTTGGCTTGTTGTTTGGACACAGTACCCACAGCAGATTCTGAAATGCTCCCTGACGTCTGAGGCAGAAGTAGTTTTCCAGACTGTGTTGGGTACTTGGTTTTCATAAGAACTTTAAACAGTGGCTGGGTCAACATATGTTTTAGTTGTTTTTTCATCCCCTTCAGTATCTTTTGCTTCTGGCTTTCTTCTTCCTCACTAGTTTTCCTTCCTTTAGGCAGAAAACAAAGACACAGAATGTTACAACAAAAGAAGAACTTGTACTGGCCTCTTTAATCAGGCTTTTGTAATGCTACAGTGAGATGCTAATCTCATCTTTCTTTCTCTAACAAGGTCACAACTCCCATACAGTCTGCCAGTCATCTGTGACACTTTCAGACCACCCACAAGATAACAAGATCAAGAAGAACCTGACTATTGAGCAACCATAGCTCACGTACTATTCTGCTAAATCATTCAATTGACTTTCAACCCTGAATGGACTCGGGAACAAAAGGGAAGAGGGTCCAGAAGATAACGTCTTAACCCAGGGCTTCTACCTCAGGCAGAAGCTGCTTCTGTGTATTTCATTAGTTCATGCATGCCTTATTTCAGCATCTGTAAAACAGGAAGTCCCTTCCTCCTTATACATGAACATCAATGAGAACTTCAGATTTAGTAACATAGGAGAAAGAAGGGCGTAGAAAAGATTTGAGACTTTATAGGGTCAGAGGCTTGAACTGGACAAAATAAATGAAATCAAGGTTGCTGTGATGTAAATTGAAAGGACATTACTAAATCCTTTTTAACAGTGTAAGAGGCATTTCGTTTATGGGAGGAATGACTGTGATTTTAATTGGTCTCCAACAAACTGCAGAAGAATCAGAGACTGAATACATTTTAAAGCATGAATCTGGCAAGATTCTGCGTTGCAATTACAAAGTGCTTCACTTGAGAGCCACAACTTACTTGGACTGGATGTGCTGTTTTGAAACTCATTCCAAAGCACAGCATACTCAGATTATGTCAAAACAAGACAGCAGAGTGCTAATTATCTGAGAGTGCTCCTGAACAGTTTGGACTGAGACAATTAGTGTTTACTTGCGAAGTGGTTGAGAACAAGCTAGTTCAGCAATAAATAAAGAAAAAAATTAATCTGAACATGCTTCAAAGTTAAGGCATATTTAGCAACCAACACATTAGAGACAACTTAAGCTGAAGTGGCCCAGGCAGCACCCCTATTCAGCGCACCTTCATAGAACTAGTAGGAAATCATACCTTCAGCTCCTAAAATTTGAAGACAATGTGACATTTTACAGTGCATATAAGCACTGCAAAACTTCACGGCACTGAACCAATAGGCACCTCTAGCTGCACAAACCTATTCTGTGCAGCCCTATTCTGAGAGAATGCACAGCCTGCATTCTCTCAGGCACCGACTTCAGAACATTTTATCTTTAAAATGTAAGAAATTATTTACTTCTAAAACACCACCAAAAATCTCAGCAATTTGAATCTAAGTATTGGCTGTCTAGCCCACACAACTCAACCTAAGTAAGGCTCAGACAATTTTGGTGTTAGCTAGCACTTCCTGGGTGTTCCCACACAGAGCTGTCAGGCTCCTGTCCTGCTGCCTGACTACAGGGGGCTGAGAGAGATAAGCAGAAATAGAGAAACAGCTTTTTCTTTGACACAGAGGGGACAAGACTCAAGCAGGTACTACTGGGCTCTTCGATTACTCTAAAATTGTTTGCCAGAAGCTAAATGGTTCTTGTCCTACAACATGTAGACTTGTCTGCAGCTTGCCAGAATTGTCACACCTCACTCCCGCTGCTCCAGCCCTACCTACTGCACAATCATCCTGGAAATAGCAGCATCACTATGTTCTACGTAATGACACTCATTTCCTTCCCCGTCTGCCCTGCAGTTTTTAAGAGTTTCTCTGCCATGGTGTGGCTGCTTCTGAACACCAGTTCTATGGGACTAGCTGAGCCCCATATGTTTATACCCATAAATAAGCAAAAATTTCCACTTGCCCATAAGCATGTCATCGTCAAGATCAATCTCAAGAGCCTCTGCAGCTTGCTGGAGCCAGGAGTTATGTTGCTTTGTTCGACTGTTGAAAAATTCTGCCTTCTCAATCTGCCGTGCCAGATTCATCCGCTCCTGCAAAAAAAGTACACTTAGGCACTGTGATCAGGTTTAAACTTGGGGCGCTTTAGCAGAATCATGGCTTGAGAACCTGCATTACAATGCAATTGATGCACAGAAAGACACTTCTGTTCTCTGCTTGATATCCCAAGCAGATGCCTCACGTAATAGACCATTTGCTGAAGCATTCTCCTCCTTCAGATCCATGATCGAATCTGACTTCTAAAGTATCTCAACTACTAAACATGCCAAAACATTAACTCCTCACTCTTTAAATGAACATTACAAACACTTCAGAGACATCAAGGACAAACCATGATTCAGACATTTCCAAGTTACATGGTCCACCTTATAGTAAAGTTACTAGTCTCAGCAATAAGGAGCAACCACTAGCTTCACCCCAGTCTGAAGAAGTAAGCTCCTGCCACCCATATGGAAGAAGGTACTCCTATTTTCAGAAATGCACCTGGATCTTGTTTAGCCATAGGACAAAATGCCCTGTCCTTCCCAGCTGCAAACAGATAGAAAAAAGATGTCCAGCAAACCTAACATGACCTGCAGCCTTCCAGCTGGGCCAAGCTATCTTAGATCCAACTCATTATGGAAAGAAAATCTGCCCTGACAATGAATAACCACCAACCCATCAGCAAGTTCTGTGGCTTGGAACGTGCCTGCAGCTACATGAAACAAACCCTGTGCTGGATACCCTCACCATCCCTACTGAATAGTCTCGTGCTACACAGTAACTGCACCAACTAGAACTGCCAGATAATTAAGAAGCAGAGAGAGAGGAAATTAAATGTGCAGTCTAAGTCACATCTTAGACCATCACAAGAAATTTTAAACAGTTTTTCCATCTCTGTAAAAGTTAAGCTCTCCTTCAGTCCTTCCTCTACCATGGTTCACCAATTCTACTCTTCTCAAGTGTGAAATCCCTTCAGACTTTTCCTGAACTTGAAGGGAGGCAAGTAGAACCAGGGAATGAGCATGCCAAAGGGAAAGACAATAAAGAACACGTAGCACTATTTGTCCCAACTACAATGGCTTTGTGTCTAAGCCCAGGGCAAAGTGTAAATGAGACCTGAGCCATATGAAAGGCCTAGGAGGCTGAAGTCCCATAATTACAATTACAGACATTTTTTCTGGGGAAAGGAGCACTATCACACATAGGAAAGATTGTGAGATGGTGGCAGGAAAATTTGAGTGTGGAAACAGTATTTGTTTACCCATTAATTGACAGAGCATGATAGGAGCCAAGAACTACTCATCAAGAAACACAGAAGGGACCTCTGAAGAAACACTCTAAAAACAGATTTCTTTCAGTAACCAGAAACTTTTGGTGGGTGGAGGGGGCAGATGGAAAAAAAAATAAAATATCAAATTCTCTTTGTTACAAGAGGAGAAATATGAGACTGTGGAAGCATTTCTTTGATTTCTTCCTCTTTCAGAAAGCTGCTCCTCCTGAAAGGTTCATAATAAACACCCTTTTGATGGGGTTCAGTGGCCTCACAGTACAGGAACTTTTAAAAAAAGCTAACAACTCACTACATCAACTGAGAAGAGGCAGACGAAGACCACTGAAGATCCCTGGACCTGCTACCGTTCCCTAGCCTAACACTTAACAGAGCCATCCCACCACCTGAGCCACAAACCAGACTTGCTTCCCTGTACTGTTCTTGGGAATCTAGCTAACAGAAGCTCTACGTATCAACATGCAAGAAAAATGTAAGTGATTAACTTCATTTGCAAATCCAGGTCCTGAAGAGTAAATTTCATCAGAAACCTGGAAAGAATGTGATGGGCAACGCAAATGTATATTCTAAATAAGCAAGCAACTACTCAGGCTGCAGAGATTGTTGTTTCCTTACCTTGATAGAAGTCATGCACTTGGTTTCAATGGGGAAAAATGGCAGCTCTTCACTCTTCTCCAATGTCTTATAAATTTTCCTAAAATTGATCAAGTCATCAGGGCCAATGAGCAGTAGGCTGAGGCCTTCCTTGGCAGCTCGGGCTGTTCTGCCACTTCGGTGAACGTACAGCTCAGAAGTGCGAGGGACCTGAAAGTATTCAGAAAATACCAATGAAGCTCACCATGGAAAACTATCAGCAACCTGTCATGCTCTGGCCAAGAGGTTGCCACAGGACATCGTTTTTCATATACACATGGTACATTGCAAGTAACACAGCCAAAGGTAATATAAAAGATGATGTCTGGAGATACTGTTTGTTCTCTAGTCCAGTACTCTTCTTTGCATAATCTTTTGTGAGTCTCTCCTAACTTCAGACCCTCTGTCACTTAATTTGCAAAAAATTGTGTGTGGCCTCAGAGCAGAATTATAGGGCTGAGTCATTTGACACCTTTGGGTATCAATGTTAAGCAAAAAGCACAGAGAATCATATCTGTTACATCATTCCTCAAATACAATCACATATTCATGAAGTATTACCTACCACAGTCAGTCACTGCAACAGTAAGATCCTTAAGTAAAAAGCACTAAGTACAGTTGAATTAATGATGATTAAATCTCTATACTTGGGACTATACACAAGACCAAGAATCACACATTTAGAGTTCAGAGTTTGGATCAGTAAAATCTAATTTCAAAACCAAAACAGTAAAAGCATGAAAAAAAAAATAAAAATTCATATTTAACCTGGTAGTGGATGACATGCTGCACATTGGGAATATCAAGGCCACGAGCTGCAACATCTGTTGTCAGGAGGACACAGCTGAGAAAGCGATAACATTTAATGAACATAAAATTGAAGAGTAAACCATCTGCCAAGCAACATAAAATATAGCAACCTAGAATTCTACCACGGCCATTTAAGGAGCAGATTTGTACTGTGCCATCTGCTGGAAATGCACTATTTGTTTGGCCTTACAGAAAATAACACCGAGTATTATAATCAGAGGTAGTCTTGAAACAGCAATTCTTAAAATAAAACAAAACAATGTAAATGCTACTTTCAGCAGGTCTATTCTGTTTACAATAAAGAAATTCACTACCTCGTTAGATTCTGTTTTCCCATGCTTTTATTCTCTCCCAATTCACAGGAACGCTAGTGTGTATCACTATTCAATGACCTAACCCAACCACTTGGGAGGGGAGTATGCTCCCCTTCATTATATTCTTCAGTGCTCGACTCAACTCAGGCTGGCTTTGAAAATATCTTTAGCTTGATACGACATTACCATTAACAACACTGCTGATCTTTTGGCAGCACAGACTATTTCACCAGTTGAGAATCACATTATTAACTTTATAATTAAGAGCTTCTGGGGGCTGAAATATCTTCTACCAAGTTGCACTCAAATAAGTTCTCTCAGAAAATTAAAAGCTAGAATTATATGGGGGGGAGGGATTCTGTTCTGACCATTAGTATTTCTCCTTTACCCCTAGAAATTAAGAATTAAACCCCCCCCCCCAAAAAAAAAAAGAGCTTTTATATATTTTATATAAACATGAGAGAATGACCTTTTATATAAAGTCTACTACAGAGAAGGAAGTCTCCTTAGAGTATGGAACAATTCGTTATTAAAAATCTTCCAGCAACTGAAATGAGTTACTTGTAGGTGACAGGAATTTCTTAAGATTTTATGGTACCTGACTGTATGCTCTATTGCTAAAAGGTTCAAAGGAGAAATAAACTCAGAAAAATCTATGGCTTGCAATCTGCAAGATACCATGATAGATGGCCTCATAGATTTCTTCTTGCCTTGAAAATCTGCAGTCTCTGAAAATGCTCTATCTGGCCTAGATCGGTGCTATCGATACTACATTTTGCCAAGGAATACAGCAGATCTGTCACAGCGATTCAATCTTTGTTCTCCCTGCCTGAGTCTATTACAAAGGTACAAATTTCCACAGTCAAACAGCATAGCAATACTTCACAGCAGGACTAAATTGAGGTGTATGAATTATGGAAGTACTGATACCACCAACCTTCTCTCAGAGGCCATTCCAAAGCCAGTAGGAAACAGCAAGACAGACCTGCATGGGTAAACCTGACTGCCTACTGCTGCTGAAAGGCACAACTAACCCTTATCTTTTATTGCTGTAGGATACCTTGATCCTCAGGAAGGTAATTCATCTAACTAAACTTGTAATACCCCAGCCCAGCAAAAAGTGGTTAGTTTTCTGATGGCTTAGTGAGATGAAATGACTTACAGAACTATCAAATGAGCTTCAGAGATAGGATACAGGAGCAGAGAGGTGTGCAGGATGGTTATAAAGCATATGGCTGCAAACGGCAAGTGACAGCTCCTTCAGCAGCAATGAGCTGCCAGGCCACAAGACAATTCAGGCTCCAAGGGACCTCAGAAGGTCTCTAGTCCTACCTCCTACTCAAAGCAAGATGAGCAGTAAGGTTGGATCAGGTTGCTCAGGGCTTTATCCAAGCGAGCCTTGAAAACCTCCAAGAACAAGTAGGCTGTTCCAATACCTGACTATCTTCACGGAGAAAAAGCTCTTTCTTACTCCCAGAACCTGTTTTTTTAACTTGTACCCATTATCTCTCATCCTCTTGCTATGCACCACTGTCAAAAGCCTGGCTCCATCTTCTGGATAACCTTCTTTTAAGATATCAAAGGGCTGCCCTTACTCCTTTTTCCCAGGTGATACGCAAACCCTCAGCCTCTCACCCTTACAAAGCCAATGCTTCTCGACCATCCCTGGTGGCCTTCCACTGAACTTGCTCCAGTTCATCACCTCTACCATCCTATGAAACCTCATCCTTAATTATTAATAACCTGGGCTCATGAAGGGGGGACTTGCTTCCCCAGCTAACTCTCCCAACCTACTCCTACTCTAACAGAGCTGTTTTGTCTCCCTGCTACCCTTTACATGATCTCCTCCACTAGGAAGTAGAAAATCAACTCACCTCTCTCGCTCAGCAAACCTTTCCAGGTTTTTCAGCCTTTGCTTTTGGTGCATGTTGGCATGCAAAGGAAGAGGATCACAATTTAAGATTGTGAGGAGAGAACTGAGGCGTTTTACACAGTCTATGCTGTTCGCAAAGACCATGGTTCTTCCAGGATACTGGAGAAGAAAATAATACAGATAATAGTCCTTCTCATTTGTATTACAGTGGATTCTGGTTTCTGTCAGTGTCTCAACAGTAGCCTCTTTTCTTGTTAAGTCTATTACTTTGGGTTTGCCCTTTATTCCTACTTTTTCCATTAACAATTCTAGTTTGGTCTTCTTGTCCATCTTTTTAGCATTCTTCTTCTGTAAAACTCTTGTGGGAGTCTGATGGACTAAAGTCAAAGTGGCAGAAAAAACAAAAGTCTGTCGTTGAGGGTTATACTGTGAATCATTTAAAATTTCCAGCAACTGAGACAGCTCTAAGAAGTGACCTTTCTCAACCATTCGGTCTGCTTCATCAATCACAAGGCACCTGTCAAACAGAAAACATACAGTAAAAATACACTCCTGCAGACAAATACAAATCTGATACACTTAAAAAGAACTTTTCCTCCTAAATACATAATGGAAGTTCTGCATTTAAAACCCAAAGAAACACCAGGTACACCAGGGTAGCTACACTAGCCTTACGCAGTTCTGTTTGAAAAATCAGGTTTTTATAGGAAAAAGGGTGTGTTTGCTACTGGCTTTAATTGTCATTTCCCTCCACCAATATAATCACTGTGCATTACAATAAAACACTCTGACAAAGAAGTGATCTTACATAATCTAAATTATTTAATCGGTTAGTAAACACAATCAGCGTGCAGTGACGCCCAGTTCAGCATCCAGCAGTTAGTCTAAAAGGCACCATTACCTGAGCTGCCGAAGATTTGAAAGATGTGGGTGTCTCTCTTTAACTAACTCCCACAGGCGGCCTGGAGTTGCAATCACAATTTCTGGCTTTCGATTCAGCACACGTTCTTGCTTCTGTGCAGCCATGCCTCCAACTATAATTGCAGTCTTAATGCCTAGAACATGTAAATAACAGTTTTTATCTCACTAATTTATAAGTGAATGTCTTTACATACATCCACCCACAGAATTATTTTAAGAAGTCTGCACCGCAACTTCCAGCAAGCATTTTGGCCAGGAAACTTCAGGGGTTTTATGTAACACTGAATGCACAGCAATGCCCTCAATTTTACAGAAAAATCCTCATTATAGTTGGATGCCAAAAATAAAATAGTTTTTCTTTCACTGTACCAACAGCAAGAAGAATCATATACACCCTCCATACCTGTTAGCTTTGTTTACCCGTATTTCAGAATCTCATGTTTTGTCACTATCTTCATGAACAAGCATGTTCCTGTTAGGAATAACCAGCAGGCCCCTCCAAAAATAAGACTGAGAAATGCTTGTCTTGCTAGCAACTGCTCATTTGCTATGGAATAATCCTAACAAGAACACTTCTGACCAATTAATGATTTTCTGGACCACACGGCAGCACAGATGGTAAGTTAGCTTTAATTAATTTGCTCAGGTACTAAAGGGAGTTTAGCTTTGGAAGCACAGTCCACACATGGCTTATTTCACCCTACTTCTTCAAAGACTACACCGGCCCATGACAAACTCAATGCTAATGTGCAAGAGTCCTCCAGTATCCAAGCTACCACTGCTCTCTCTTCCTGCTTCTTGTGGAACCCCATGCTTTAAGGTGGGGATTCTTTTCAAAGTGAATTTGATACAGTAAAGAAAGCCCTGCTTTCTATTACTTTTCTGCTGCAGCAACTATACATCACTTGTGCAGCAGAATTTTATGCACAAATAGCACTGCTCCTATCAGAACTGTACTGACGTTAACTGTGAAGTTAAAATTAGCCTTGCAATTAGCTGCAGACTGATGAGCACAGCAGGACGTGCAGACACCAAAGGAAGATGTGCTTAAAAGCAGTTCTCTGCACTACATATCCTCATCAATAATTACTCCTATTGGAGAAGTGGGGAGTTTTTTCCCAATTCTCCCTATCTTGAACAGTTTCACATCCTCACTCAGTCACTTAACAGACGTGTTGACCTCTGGTTTGGAAGAGAAATGAACAGGACGGAATGTCTTCCGCGAGGCATGCTACCCCGCAAAATGCTGTGGCCTGACTGCTGCAGGAGGTAAGTCAGATAATCCAGCAATACCTTCTACCCTTAAAATTTATGGCCATTTCTTTTTCTTATACACAGGTAGATGAAAATGATATATACAGATATATCTATTAGCTACACAGATTAATACACCTGTCAAAAAGGAAATTATGATCTTATGATCTATATTTTTTACACAGATACAGATATATAAATGAAATGATTTTTCATATATAACCTACATTATCCAAACCCAGCACAAAGTTAGCTGTGGCTGAGTACTGATTCTGTGTTGCTAAATCACGAGTTAATAGCTATTTGAAAGAAGAAACAATTTAAAGCAAAATATCCCATATTAACTGTTTACTTCCACATGCATCCCACTGAAGAGTCTTAATTTATTTCTCAAACACCAGAGACTACAAACCCTAGCCCTGCAAAAGCCAGCCCAATCTTACAACGTGGAAGAAACTGTGGCACACATTCTGGCTCAACACAAATGCTAAGATCCAAACCCAGCACAATGTGGGACATGGCCCAGGGGGTCTTCATACCTGTAAACTTTGCAACTGCATCAATGTGGTGTTTTACTTGTACAGCTAATTCTCTTGTGGGTGTAAGGACCAGTCCCAAAAGCGGCCTCTTCTTATGGGAACTAACAGTATGAGTCTCGTCACCAGAATCAAATTCAAAATTTTCCAGCACCTTCACACAGTCTGTTGGGAAAGATGCATCATCTTCATCTCTGCTATCTTCAGCCTGCTGATGGGTTAGTTTTTCTGCTTCATCCTCATTTTCCCAACTTGTTTCATCATGATGCTGATGGGAGTCTTCAGAAACACTGTCATTTCTGGTTGTTGAACTATTTGATTTTTGCCACTGCAGCACAGAGTGAATCATTGGAATTGCAAATGCAAGCGTTTTGCCGCTTCCTAAAAAAAACAAACAAAAATAATAACACAGACCAACAAGTCATTTATTTGAAAAGATGAGAAAAGTAACAGACAATCGCACACTGTTCTTAAAACATATAGTTGTAACAGACACACACTATTGATCTTCAGAAGACCAGAAACTTGCAGCAACAGTGTATTTCCTCCCTGTTCCCTTTACAAGTCTTCTTGAGGTCACCAATAGCATATTTCCTGGGGAACAGGTATTTTTCCAATCACTAGCAGGTCAGGCAGATTCATTTGTTCTCAAAGTGTTTATAAAAAACTGCAGTTGCAGTCAAGATATTTTTATGCCCGTAAGGAGAATATCATGCCCTAATTGACAGTTCCAATCCATGTTCTCCGAATAAGGGAATAGCAAATGAGGCCAAGGACAAACTGGAATGTACTTCAAGAATTTGCTTCCATCTTCATTTTACAGCACTGTGTTTATGTCTTTCTAAGAAACTTTATTTGGAAATACTCCACTGGCTAATTTCCTGATCTATCATCAACTCACATTTTTACAACCAAAACATGAAAATCTCATCTAAAACAGATAATGCACTTTGGAGAGGAGAGGGTTGTCAAATACAAAAATGCCCCCTGACTATAATTTCAGCGATCCACTGTATAAAACTGCGAGTTGCATCCCTGCCACACACTCCCTTCTGAACTATCGCTAATAAAGGTATTAGGAGAAGCCTGGTAGCACATCCACGCCAGTTAAGGTTCTCATCAATATCAGTTCATCGACTACAAAAGCAGCATCCAGAGCACAAGACACTATTACACCATTCCTGTAATAGGCCACTGCTGGGAAGCAGTCCGCTGGAAATCTCATCTCAGCTCCTTGAACATTGTTTGTCCATATCACAAACCCATAATGGTTTGCCAAATTTAGCATCACAGAATTTTGCCTGTTTAGCGGAGAACCTTAATATTAGTTAATACATGGCTAAGCCCAGTATCATGATCCTGACTAACACTGCTGTGAATTCTCTTTGTATCCCCTTCCCCATCTTTCTGTGAGTCTGGGAGGTCTCTTACGATTTCTGCTCTTGGAGCAGAAAATGTTTATAATATAGACTGGCAGACCACTTATACAATAAGATTCTGTATTACCAGAATATCTGTTTTTAAGGTGAAGAACACTGCTGATCCTGAACGAAATGCAATGCAATTTGGCTGGTGCAAATCTCAGTTCTACACACGGCTAGATGAGGGCTGTGATATCCAGAACTATTCTGCAGGCACTAGATTCACCCACAAATTAATCAAACAAGCACCTCGTGGGGCACGTTATCTTCACAACACACAGGTCACGTACCATAGCCAGGACTGCAACACCAGAAGGAAAGTACATCTTGGCAACGCTCAGACACTACAGCTCAAGTTAATTCACACTCTTTTTATTGGTTTTATATTGTAAGATTTTTACATAGATAAAATTGGGTTCCTTAATTAAAAACTTCACTAGTTCTACATGGTAATGAACAGAACTGGTTAGATCCATTGCAGAAACAATGAGCCTTGATATTCCTTGCATCAGATCTCCACAGGGATCTACTGCCATATCAAAATCTTACCATTCTTTATGTTACTACTGAAAACAGAAGATGAGTAGTTCTTTCACCTGTCACATTTCTCCTTCAGGCCCAATGCTATGGGAAGTGCTAGAATGTAGGGGGAGGAAGGAGGAGAAAGCCTCTCCCAGCTGCAGCATTTCCTTATGGACAATTGTCCACATCTTCTCTCAAGTTCCTACAGGAACACTGATGACCCCCTGGTCTCTCTGGAGAGAACCTGGCTTTCTCTCATGAAAGAAAATGAATGAGAAAATCACAGTCCTACTACCTCAGTGTTATACAAAACTAGACAGCAACAACATGACCTGCCACCAACCATTCTGCAGCTAGAGAGGGATTTGCTTTCCAGCACTGCCCAAATGGCACTTTCTTGCACCACAAAACCACCATTTAAATTTTCAGTTCCATTTTTGAAAACTCTCCCTGCAGGGCTTTCTAATGTTATTAAAGTTAATAGCACCATCTTAGCTTCTAATTAAAATAAAAATGCAAATGACTGCATATCTTATTAGTTACTATACCTTCATACTCGAGGGTAGTAAATGGCTTTACAAAACAAGCAGTGAGATAAGGCAACTGGAACAGATGAAAAGAATGCAAAGGAAGCCTTTAAACCAAAGAGCTTCCAATTATGCTTCCTATTTTTAGGTCTGGGGTTTTTTTGAGAAAGAAGATGCTCCACTGCTACAGATGACAAAACTTCAAAAGCATGAGCAGCAAAAAAAGTCAGAGGGAACGTAATGCTGTGAGACTTCACAGCAGTAAGTAAAAAAGGAGCTATAACAAATTTCACAAAGGCTACTGTCCTGGGTTCAGCTACAGCAGT